CCTGCTCTGTCTCTCTCACTCCTGATCCTGCTCTGTCTCTCTCACTCCTGATCCTGCTCTGTCTCTCTACTGATCCTCCTCTGTCCCTCTCTCTGCTGATCCTGCTGTTCCTGGTTCCAGATTATTCTCAGGCCCACAGAGGGTGTGAGTGAGGATGAGTGAGAGGGAAAGGAGGAGAAGAGTGAGGACAGGTAGGGGATGGACGAGGGCTGAGACTGACCCATGCTGGCGTCAACGTCTGAGGACAGGGGTCTCAGGTGTGCAGGGGTGGGTGCTGGTGGAGGGTTCGAGCCTCTGTGCTGAGGATGATGATGGGCCCAGCTCGGCCTCACCTCTGAGGCAGGAAGGCTGGCAGGGGGTCCGGGGCTGGACTGGACCAATCCAAACAACATCGGATCTGCGTCCATCACCGCTCCCTCCAGCGCCGAGTCCAAGGGAGGGCGACAGGGGCAGCGAGGGGTCAGCAACGGGTGAGGACCCACGTGGAGGAGACAAGTGTGATTGACAGCACCACACTGCGCTCCTGATTGGTGTGGACTGGAGGGGGCGGGGCAGTAGACTTCTGGAGGGCGGGGCTCTATGTACACCTGGGCGATACCATTCAGAGGCTGCGGGGGGCAACTACTGGGCGTCTGCTCAGCCGCACCCCATCTTTCCACAGTGCTGGCAGATGGAGGATTCCTTATTTCTGCAGGGAGAAAAAAAACAGTTGTTACCCCTATACTGCCCAGGCCTGTTTAGAGCATATTTATTAAAAGCAGTTTTTTTTTTGCAGTTCAGAAGTTCTGCAAAATTCATTTTTGTATTCAGTACAGGACTTTGAATTAAGGACCTAAGGTCACAAACTAGAGGAGGCATTTGGCCTGTTTAACCTGCTCAGCAGGGAGTAGCTAATGGACCTTGGATCTTGTTCAGCAATTTATTGATAGCCACAGGGTTGGGCATCTGTTCCACACTCCCACTGCTCTTAGTGTAAAGAAGTGCCTCCTTTCGCCATTTTATATATTGTGTTGTTGAGGGATCAGGTGGCTCTGTGCTGTGCTGTGTTGTTGAGGGATCAGGTGGCTCTGTGCTGTGCTGTGTTGTTGAGGGATCAGGTGGCACTGTGTTGTGCTGTGTTGTTGAGGGATCAGGTGGCTCTGTGCTGTGCTGTGTTGTTGAGGGATCAGGTGGCACTGTGTTGTGCTGTATTAGTAAACAGGTGTAGCCGTGTCGCTGACGCAGTAAGAATTGTTGTTACCGCTCCAGGAATCAGGAAATGTCGGAACTAGACCACAGCGCAAAACTACTTCCCCAAACTTCACATACACACACACCAGCCGAAGGATAAGCGCACGACCCTCGCTAGGCTGTTTGTTCTAACCTAATCCACGTCTCTTTTACACACACGTCACAGCGTGTGAGGACTTTATAAACGCGCGTGTGTGAGCAGGCAAACAGAACTTATCCGAGTTCCACGCGCTGGTAAACAAAGTTCACCAACGCGCGCAGGGTGCCAGCAGTGCGTAACCAGCACAACGAGCGCACCAGCGGCAGGAGAGGGTGCAGTTTCAGAGCTTCATTTTGTACTTATCCTCCGTGTAAAGCAGTCCGGTGTTTCGAGTCGGTATCCTGACTTGCGGTTCCCGTGTGTCGATACTTTCACAACCCCGAGCGCCGCAGCGCCCGGAGCCCCGCTGTCTTGCCTTACCGTAGGCGGTGGTCTTCCGCAGCCGCCTGAAGGGGCAGTTCTCCTTCGACAGCCGGAACAGACAGCTTTTCCTGCGGCACTGCGCTCCGGCCATTTCTCCCCGGCCGCGGCGAAGAGCGACCTGTTTTTTTCCCGTCGTGGGAGACCGGCTGTTCCCCTCTCCAGGAGGCGGTCGAGAGAGTCTCCTCCACGGCGCTCGGTGCAGAGTGCACGGCCCCCCTTCACCTTCGCCACGATCCTAAGGCGCCCCCTGGTGGAAGCTGGGGGAGTCTGCTCAAACCCGAATTGCTGCCCTCCGACAGTAAATTCGGAGAACCGGACGAGCAGGTCAGGGGCGGTGACGTAAGTCACAGGGAAGTTTTTACAGATCCTTAACTGAATGATCTGCAGAGTGTTCCTATAGCCCACTCTTCCCCAAGCCAGAGTAATTAGCAAACTCCCCACTGAGAGCTGGTGCGTGGGGAGAGTACTGGTGCATCATCCAGGTGGGGCTGCACACTGGTGGTGGTGGAGGGGATCCCCATTATCTGTAAAGCGCTGTGAGGGGAATGTCCAGAAAGGTGCTATATAAGCATAAGGAATTATTATTATAATCAACCCGCTAGCTAGATCACCATCACTGGTCTTCTAGTGCCACCCAAGGGTCCTCTAAGGCTGTTTGTGAAGGTATAGGAGACAGAAGAGAGGTTGTTCCCTGGTCTACACTAACGTGCGGATCAGTGTGAATTACCTACAGCAGACAGGCAGGATTCTGATCAATACCTTGCTTGTGTAAAGTGTGTCATTGTCACGCTCCTGCCTGGCGAAGCAGAGCAGCTCCAGGTCTCCTCATCAGGGACTGCAGCCGGTCTGACACACCTGGGGGCAGCTCTTTCAGCACAGGGGTGCACTCCTGGGAAGAGCTTTGCCCGCGTGTTCAGTCGGAGCCGGTGATCTGTTTACTCAGGCGGCTTAGAGCAGAGCGCCCCAGCCCCGGGGCCCCCCAGGTGTTTAAGGTACCAGAGGAGCGGGGGGGTCCAGAGGAGGGAGCTGTGGAGCTGCAGGGTCAGGGGGTGTCAGCTGAGCTCTCTGCCCTCAGGAATCCTCTCCCCTCCCTCTGATCGCGGTCCGGCGGGGCCCGGGCTCCAGGCCCTGTGGATTTATCGGGGACCCTGGGAACCCCTCGGGGCTGGGGCTCCCCAGTCTTAGAGACTGCATCCCGGGTGACCCCCACGCTGCTGGGTCTGACAGAGGAGGGCCAGTCCAGGCCCCGCCTTCTTCATTAAACACCCAGTTCAATTAAGCAATTAAGAGCAGAGAGAAGAGACGCCAGAGACCACTTTCCAGTCCGCTCCAGTCCAGAATTTCCCTCCTCCCTGCTCCCTCCTTAGTCCAGTGGCAGTTAGCAGGAGTTGTGCAGCAATTAAGGGAGTCGGTTGTTCCAGAGTACTGCAATGGAACGGACTGGAAGACCCCAGGCCAGCCCTGAGTGTGAGGATTGCATCTGGTTTTCCTTCCACCCCTCCAGTGACCTACTAGATGGGCTGATCTGGACTAAGCAGTCTCCCTCTCTTAAATGTTCTTGAGAAAGACACGAGGAAATATTTCCTTGCTTTACTGGATTTTTCATACAAAACTTAAAAAAAAAGTACATTTACAAGCAGCATTGAGTAAAATTGGACTCCACGAAAGTGTGACAGCCAGGAAGAGCAATTAAAAAAAATGCAACCATCATCATAATCCTACTACTAATAATATAATAGCATACATTGTAGAAGGAAACTGCGCTGGAGCCCTTGTGAGCCAATGAAACACGAGCGCAGATCACCGACAGGAAGAGCCTCCGTCAGCCGGTCCTTCGCTGCAGAGGAAGTCAAGCTCAGCCGACCCCCCCCAACCCCCAAGATCCCTTCAGACGAATAAGAGTCATTCCGGACAGCCCAGGTAGTGAAACTGGTGCCAGTCCCCCACATCCGCTGGCCAGCCCAGTCAGTACCGCAGTCCGACCCGGGATCAGCCCCAGAACCTCAGCCGGGGCTGGCCGGGGGGCGGCGTGGCGCCGGGCTCCTCGGGCTCTTCCAGGGCGAAGATGCTGCCGCCCTCCTGAACGAAGGTGAAGTACAGGTTGGCCACCAGCATGACCAGCACGGGGAAGAAGGTCAGTCCGAAGCCCAGGCCACGGAAACTGCTGCCCAGGGCGAAGGCCAGCCAGTAAACCAGCCTGAGGAAACACAGACACCCCCAGTGAGTGAGCTGGGGTACTGGGGTACAGACACACACCCCCCCAGTGAGTGAGCTGGGGTACTGGGGTACAGACACACCCCCCCCCACTGAGTGAGCTGGGGTACTGGGGTACAGACACCCCCCCCCCCAGTGAG